GGTGCATGAATGATTTACTTTTAGTTGCAACCCCTCCACATGTGCTAATAATTCCAGTTTCTCTGAGCTTTAAATTTGTAAAAGTATAGATTGTCTACAAAAATTTTGGAGAATTGTGCATGTGCTTTATTTTTTATTATTATTTTACTTTTTTCTAAGTAGATTTTTTTGAACACGTAAGTTTTTCACAGGGGTCTAAAATGATTTTCTTTAATAATTAAAAAAGACATTATTTTATTTCTTTAATAATGCATGGGACTTTCAGCAAACAAATTTGGAAGTAGATTATCTTTAAAATTCCCTTCTAGCCCAAACCGCTTTATGATTGTATGATTCTAGTCTTAGGAAAAGAAAGTCTTCAGCATCTGTGGGTGGTAAGCAGTGCACCTAAGGTGCTGCCTGCTGTGATGTTTGCCATCATTGCTGAATGCTTGTGGCTCTTGAAGAAAAGGGACGGTGGGTGAGGACAGTGAGGGTCCCATTGGATCACGCAGATGAAATGAGGTGTGGTTGTCTTTGGACTGAGAATCAGTAACTTGTTGAGTACAGAAGCACCGGGCAGGTTGTGTTTCACCAGCCTGTCTTGTGTCTCTGTGGGTATAGGTGTGTCCTAGGGTGATGCTATGATGCTTGTATCCCCAGTCAGGTCTTCTGTTTAAGCTGGATATTATATTCTGTGCCTTCAAGACGGGCTCTGAGAGCAAAGGTGGGGAGAAGAAGAAGCACAGAGTTTGTTACCAGCCTGCACTCCTCCACACTCTGCTGGAACACAGAACTCCACTCTGTTGTCTGGACATGGATGGGGCAGAACATGGCACTCCTTTGCTTTTTAGTTAGTTTAGCTAACTGAGGCAGTCCAAGTTTTCCTGGACTGGTTCTCTTTCCCTTTTCTTGGATCCATTTGAACCTGCTCTGGACTGGTACCCAGGGAGACACCGAGAGCTCGCACCTTGTGGCCTATGGGGGTCTACTGTGGGCAGCAGCCTTTCCCAGTGCTGGAGGGACTGATAACAGAGCAACCGCCCAACGGAGAGACTTTCCGAATTTGCCATCTCTTCAGAGCAGCAAATGAGTTTGTCACCTGCTCTTGTTCATTTCTTTGTGCTGGGGAGTGCTTTGCCGGTTAAATAAACAGTTTTTTTCCACTTCTCTCTGAGAAAATTATTCTTGAACTGACTGGGGGGAGGAGCTGTGTGGGTTTGCTTTCTAAGGGGGGGGCCCTTTTGGAGGTTTTCTCCCAAATTTGCCCTAAACCAGGACAAAGTGCCCAGCTGGTACCTCTGTTGCACACCTACCCTGGCTGCACAGGCTCACTCTGGGCAGGAGATATAGGCACAATCCCAGAAAAACGCAGTTTCCAAGCAGTTCTGAATCTCTTGCAAGTATTTTGTTGTGATGACAGTAGCACCTCACACCACTCCACTCCAGAGCATGCCCGACATGATGAGACACTGTTACAGTAATAAACAGCTGTCCTATGGTTGATGTAAGTGGCTCTGGGAAAAGATGTCTGTTGCTTGGACCAGGCAATACAACTGCACACAGAATTAAAATAATTATAGCCAGGGGACTGTTATAATACTGTATGTGTGCCTGTGTTAGTGAAACTGGGAAGAATATGTGACAGTATACTCTTGCAAAATGTGTGAATGTGGCTATTGTGCTGCAAAGAAGGCTGGGACTTCTCCAGCATGGATGTGACAGGGACATGCCTTCCAGCGCAGACATTGATGTTAATTTAACAAAGTCAAAAAATAATGTAGCCAAAGCAGAAATCTCTTTGGAGTTCTGTGCTTAAACTCTAACACCTCAGGTCACAAAATCCATTTCTGGCTGCTTAGGTATGTCTGGTGATACATCTGTCCTAACTTTCATCTTCAATTGTTTCCCATACACACTTGACCAGTGGTGGAATGATGTTTTCTTTTGAAGGGGGCCAAGTACGTATCCAAGCATGCAAAATTTGTGAAGACTGAGACTAATTAAGAATAAGGTACCTGAGTTGATGGTCCAGAGATCATACTTGACCCAAGAGAAAATGGGGAATGCAAAATACTGGATTTCATTCTGTACTCTAAGGTCTACCTGTGCATTTTATTAAAAAACACCCTGAACCACCAAGCCATCATCCTGAAATGTTCAAGATTTGGACTGTGAAATGTTTAGATTCTGACTTGTCTATGTTATTGACCAGTGCTCTGATAAAGATTTAGTGTGCATAATATCTGTATTACCAAAGTGCAAAAGGACGCCCTCCCTATTAAGGGTTTTTAAAGAGTCTTTTCTGCAGATGGAGAGAACATTAGTAGAAAATGAACAGTATCTTTAGCTATCATCCATTCTTCAGGGATAAAGTAATCAAAGCATCAAGCTAAAGACAAATGCGGATTAAAATATAGGTAAGTTATAGTAAGTAACAAGGACTAAAAGACATCTATTAGAAAGAAATTATTTTTAGAATTATGATCAACAATTTGAGTTCCATTTGAGCAGGGAGCCTAAGAGATATTTTCCCTGTAAATTTCAAATGCATAACTGAGAGTTCTCAAAAAATGTGGCATGGGTCGATTATACTGCCCAGCTTTTAGTGAGAATCTTAATGGCGGTTCTTAAACCTGCTGTAATACAAATAGTGGATTAGCACTGTTTGTGTTAATTCCAGGATACAAATCATGCAGGAACAGTAAAGTAGCTTGTTTAGACAGGATTAAAAAAAAAAAAAAAAGCAAATAACAATAAAGTTGTTGCCTGTTGAACTTAATAACAACTTCAGTCCACACAGAAACGGTCTTGAATAAAATACTGCTCCTGCATAGAAAGAGTACATTGTTAGATCTGTGCTATGATCAGCTTTATTCAGAATGTGACAGAGGTGCCTAAGAAATACCAGAAACAGTAAGAGAATACAATTTCTTAAGGTGAATCACACTGTTAATTTCTGTGGAAACTGGAGGTAAATGTATGGAGGTAAATATACTAAGGAGAGTTAAAATGGCATTTGCTAGAGAGTAAAACATCCTTGAACTGCTCTCTCCTGGATATTATCTGCAGGACCTTCATCTTACAAAAGGTAAAGAAGTATACTGCTTACCGTATAAAATATAGGGGAGGTATGCTGGAAAACATTACAGCTATGAATATTTGCAAAGGTGAGAACAAAATGGATATTCTGTATTCTTTAAAGCAACAAGGGGCAATCCAACTGAACTATTTGGAAGCAGTTTTAAAATCCAAACAAAGAAAATAAACATAGGTTAATTGTACTACTCATGGCTCCAAGAAGATTTGAAAATGGAAAGCATAAATAGATGCAAAGAGTTGTTTTACAAATAAGAAATTTCCAGAAGCAGCCTTTAAAACCAGTGATATGCATGTGCATTTTGGGTCAGTAAATCCGTAAGATCCAGGTCATTGGAACTTGTCAGCATACATGTTAAAAGAGTCCATGGAAATATGATATTTAACTTCTTTCTTATTTCTTCTAAGCATCCTCTGATTCTCTTAGGCACAGGAGACTGGACTGGGCAGATTTTTGATCTTGAGTATTTTTGTGCATAGATGCGTCACATTCCACTCCTGTGAGTGTTCAGGATTAATTGATCCCCATGGTCAAAGTTTTTCTGGACCTATTTGGTAATGGGCCATGGGGCTTTGAGGGTAGTTTGGTGATCTCAATCCACCTCTGCTGGATTGACCATTTCTCAGTAGCTCCTGACTTCTCTCATCATCACCTCTGTGCTTTATGTGGTCACCATGGACCAGAACAGGGAAGTGGGCCCCAGAAGGCTGCTGCCCTAACTCCACAAGCCCCTCCTTTCCAGCCACCCACCACCTGTTCTAACTTGCCTGCTTGAGTGGCCATCAGTGTTTGAGGCATAGCAGCAACACAATAACTCCTTAATGTCCAAGCTTTGAGAAGATGACAAAATGTAATTGTTGATTTTAACCAAAACATTTAAATTACATTTTGTTCAGTATGGTGATTAATGCTGCTTATCTAAAAAATAAAGTCTTCTAGGAAAATTGGCAAACTGGACTTGCATGAAATAGCTAAAATACAAGTACAGTAGATACATTGGCAGAGAAGACATAGTATTTTATGTGTAATGTCAGATCCTAGCAGATGTTGTTAGTTGTATATTCCCCACTGTAACTGATGTAAAAGGTTTTGTAAGAGCACTGAGTACTTGGGGCACTGTTCTATGAAAGATATCTCTCAGTGGTGAGCAAGCCCTCTGTGGAGGAAAACTCCCTATTCCTCTTAGGCATGTCACATGTAGTCTCTATAAGAACCAGAGTGTGTTTTTGAAATACTTGTTCCTTACAAAGGGTAGTGGGACTATGTGAAATGTAGCATCCAGAGAGGAATTCCTGGACATTCTGTTATGCTAACAGGTATTGAATTATTGTGACTCACTCCTACCCTGCTTTCAGAGTTGGTGGTGTTGAGCTTTGAATAAACATGCATATTTCCAAAGCTGGAGATAGGCTATAGAACAAGATGCTTCTATTGATACAATTAGGTAACAGTGAAAAAAATTTCAAGGCTCAGATTTCTAGGGTGAAAGAATCTGGTATTCCTGCTGATGAAAAAGAAGAAACTAGTCTTCCAAGACCACCCACCTCGGCACCTTGGCAAAGCTGGTTTTCTTCTCATTGAAAGCACTAGAAAACCAGGAAATTAAGACTGCATATGAATACACATGAACTTGTCTAGTATATCAGTCTAGAAACCAACTTCCCATTTATATATAGAATTTACAGAAAAGAAATCTGTTGAAACTTATCTAATGCTAATGTGATGAAATCCAGACGAGGCTTTTATTGTGATTGTCAGAAATCACTGTTTCCTATTTTTCAGTTTGGAGCATACGAAATGAGTTGAGCATGCTTTATATTTCCTAGAACTAGCAATTTTCTGTCTTTGGAAAGTTTTAGAAGGAGGAGCTCAGAGGTGCTGGGGGAGGGACTAAAATTCATATTAAAGTTTTGGCACGAGAGGGAGAATTGTCAGAGTAGAAATTTTCTTCTGAGGTTTTGCTTTTTGTATTTTTTTTTTAATTTAGGATGATAAGTACTTATGTTCAGACTCTTCTAATAATTTTCTTTTGGAATGCTGATTGTCAGATTATTCCCAGGATTGAAGAATGTGGACTTTCATGTTCTCAGGTAATCTCTTACTTGTTCCAATTTGCTGTCTATTAATATAGTACTTATATGCTACCAAAATAATTGTAGGAAAAGCAAGGAAGCTTTTCTCTTTTACAAGGGAAATATATTTCAGCTGTCCTGAATTCACTTTATATTCCTGTCATTCTGAATTAAGTATCCAAAGTGGCAAAAATTACTCTAAAAGGGGGTGGAAAATGCATCTTTACCATTTGCAACTGCTGCTGTTAGTTTAAAATCTATCTTTTGTATTTGAAACAAAAGATTTTGTTAATATTCATTACTTTTCCAGAATCAGTTTTTAGAACAGCAGTAGTACCAAAGTGAGAGGGAGGAATGAGAGGTTTCAGAAAATGCTAATTATGTTAGGAACATATGAAACACTGCATTTGCTGTGAATAAATGGATTAAGCATGAGAAAGAGTAAAACATGTTTTTCATTTTGTGGTTTGAATGTAACCAGTATTAAATTTAATGACTTCTGTATGTGCATGAAAGGGGTGTGAACCATACCGTCTCCTTAACAGCTTTGGATTTGTATGTTTCCAAATATCCCCGCAAAGGGGCAGTATGGAGATATTCTGCTCTTGGCATTCTGAAATTGTAAACATGGAGTACATTGAAAGATAAATTAAAAAAAAAAAAAAGGGATTAAATAATAGGCAATCTGTCTTTCAGTCTTAGTGAAGGATAATAACTGGTACTGGCTACAGAGAAGTGAAATTGAAATTATGAAAGAATTTGGCTGTCTGTATAAACTTCTGCTTGAAGATGTTGGTATTTAGGACAAGCAGTGACACATTCTAAAGATTGTTTAAATATGGTGGTACTCCCCAGATATTAAGTTAGTTCATGTTAAAGTCATTTATTTTATATTTAATATGTGTATCCTAGAAAAACAGTAGGAATAAAGATGCTTATAAAATACTAGATTGAGCAGAAAAGCCCTCTCTATATTTAAATATTAATGTACTATAGTTAATGTTTCTGTATTCAAGGTTTGGAGTCCCTAGTTACTTAGATGTTTTTAGAATAATAAAATATAACCATAAGAGATTAATCTCTAGATGCACCCGAATACTTTTCAAGAATTTTTACGTACTTATATTCATGATTGCAAATACACATGTATTTAAAATAATTTATGCACCTTGGTCTTCTGCAATGAGAGTTTAAAATATAAATGATTCAAAGCGTGAAGGACTATCAGACTCAGCATGTAAAAATCACCATCAACCTCTTATGATGGGTTTCAGTCTAGGGGATAGGATTTACCTCTGGGGACCCTAAAGGGTATCTGTCAAACCTTAGGTGTTATGTCACAAAGACTGATTCACTAATTGCCTACAGACACGACCCTAAGGTTTGGCAAACTGGATCCCTTTCTTTACCTTCAAGGGTGTGTCTTACACTTTTTCAACTGATTAACTGAGAAAGGTGTGTCTTATTTTTCTTATACAGGGGAAATACATTGTTTCCAGTGTAGCAGAATCAATCCATTATTTGTGATATAAGGGACAGGATTCAGTTCATGTTCTATGTGATGTTTCTGCTAGTTGTATTCAGTAGAATCTTGAATGCATTAATGACTTTTTAAGACAAAAATGTTTTCTCAGAAGGAACAATAATGATCTCAACAGGATAAATTGCTTCCAGCATAGCATTTTCAATCTAGTGCAAAGCACATTAGCTACATGAACTTTAGAATCTCATGACTAGCTTGTTAGAGGAAACTTCTTCCTCCTTTTCCTTTGAAAGTAACTTCAATTTCTTTGCATAACTGATGATGATTTGTGGGCTCAATCCAGCTCATGAGTTATTCTAAAAGGGAGCAGTCAATCTTCCCTATGAACAACTCAGAGTTGTTCATAGGGGCACTAGTCAGGGGTTGCAGTTTGCCTTTGTCTGTGTGAAATATGTGTGTACTTCCTTCTGCTATATTACATCAGATCCCAAAGTAGAGAATCAATAACTCATTTCTAGCAATTTCCTTAATATGATAATGAGATATTGTAGATTTAAAACTATTAGAGATTTCTGCAGCTGCCGTGTTACAAGTGAACATTATAGAATTTTTTTTTCTCATGAAGTTTTCCCAGATACTTGTACAGTAAATTTCTCTTTTGCATTCAAACTTGAAGCTGTGTCGTTCTTCATAAAGCAATAGGGTTATGAAAAGCAATAATTTGCATTTTTCTGTGTTTTTCAAACATTGGGTATTGTCAGAAGCTTTTTAGCAGGTTTAATACCTGAAACTGTTGAGTTTGACCAGTAGACTAGATTTTAGTGTGGCTGTGTCCACTAGATATTTGTGAGCAGTTTTGACCTCCATGGGTACTCCTTATCAGAGTAAAGCACTGGTTGTACTTAGGAGGCAAATAGTAACTATTTTGAGGCATATGACTTGCTAAACATATGCACTGAACTCTTACCACAACTTTATGAAATATTCTTAATTTACCATGGATATTCAGCAAGATATCCTTGTGTTGCCTTGTGTAAGGCAATATTCAGGTTTCATTACTGTAACAAAAACTGTGCATCTGTTCAGTACAGGAAAGGAAAAAAAATACATTGGCAGTTTGTGCCAGTATTATGTGAAATTTTAAACAGCATGAAAAATATACAGCTGTGGGTTGAATGATGGCAAATGAACAGCTAAGCTTTTATTATATGTTATGATTTATTTCTTCTTTTTTATTTTAATAGCTTGGCTTTAGAGCTCATGTGGTATTCTAGTATTCAAAGATTAAATGCTATGGGCATAATCTCCATAATGCCCCACCAAATAGGAAACACAGTTATCAAACAAGTTTCCCTGTAAAAACATAGGGGAATCCCAGCCTACAATTGAAATTGGGTTTGTGCCCTACTCATTTTACAATCCACATTGTTTGCAGGCTGTACACAAAGAAATATACTTATGCCAAATTTGGTTCAACAGCTGGTAAAGATCAAGAGTACTACATTTAAAAAATACTCCCCAGAACACTGAAATATTATTTGAATTGTCTGCCATTTAATGCAGTAATATTTCCAAAGTCTATGGATAAAGAAAAAAAACACTAAACTGAATCTGGGATTTCCCTCTAATTATAGAGATTATTGGCAGTGAATCCTTGATATATAACTGCTGCTTGTTCCTGCTATTCATAATCAAAATACATGGTGTTTCTTTACTGGATATTTATACCATGGATCAATGGATCAGTCCGGTTTTGCTGAATACCATGAATATTCACACTGCAAAGCCAATGATATAGTGTACCCCTTAGTCCACAAAGTCAGCTGACATAAATTGCTATTCTTTGTTCATTATTAAGCAATTAATGCTTTAAAAGTGATCCCAAGCCTTTAGAGAATGGACATGGTTATGTGAGTGACATGAGTCAATTGTCCTCTAAAATCTGATGGAAAATGTAATTTTAGACATGGTAGATGTCTAAAGAGACTGATCAAAGACCTGGCTTCCTCAGAGTGAGTGAGAGAGATACATCATGAAATCCCATCATAGGAATACAATTCAACAGAGAATTTTTTGGGTATGCATTAATATATCTGATGACTGAAGGGGATGCATAAAAATATAAAACATATCCTTTGCTAATATTTGCTGAGATGCAGTATAATCCAGGAGAGCATGCCCCAGACAGAAAGCCTGGGGTCTACTTCTCTGCCTGTTATCGAACCACTTGTGTGGCTCTCTTCAAGTAATTTCATTTCTCTGGTTTTCACAAGTACAACAGAGTTCTGACCTTCCTGTGTGGTGTGTCTTAATTATATGTTTTCATTAACTGCTTTGAATATTATAATTATGAGTTAAGTAGTCATTAGTTAGAACTTAAGGGGCTCAGTCATATTGAGTCATTGCATTAGAGTAATATTAACCCATTTGCTTTGGTATCTTTGCTTGCCTTCTCTGCTGGTGGTTAGAAGAGCTGCAATTCAGCATGTTTGGGCAGCTTATCTCTTGGACAGTGATTCACTTTTGCTCTTTGGGTCAAAAAGAGCTTGGCAATGATATAAGATAGCTTCCTGTTGTGTCCTGTGCCACTAGTTGGGTGCTGTCGCATCTCCTCCTCCCCTGAGAAGGAGACAGCCAGTGACAGGTACAAACAGGGACTTACTGCAGTGTTCCTCAGTGTTACAGCATGTACCACCACCAGCTCCTATAAGAAAGGTGGAGATGGAGAAAGCTCTGCAATTCAGAACTTGCAAAAAAAATGTCATGGTAGCTTTTGGGCTTTTTCCCTTCTCTCTTCCTCAGGAATTCCAGAAAAATGTTGCAAGGTCTGGAAAGACACTAGCCACTGGAATAGCAAACACAGAATACAAGCAGTCATGAAAGTTGGGGACACAGACTTAACAGGTGTTGGAACTGAACCTGACAAAGTGTCTTGGGAGCCGAAACATGAGGCAGTGCTAAAAGATTCACCAGGAGAGATCAGCATCAGTTATGTGCAATCAGTATATAATCTCCTGCAAATAGCAGGAGACACATATTTGATAAACTCAAAAAGGGATATATAAGCAAGCTCAGCAGAAGATGGGAGCAGCTGGCTTTTATTACTGGCAGTGAATTTTAGCTTACATATCTCTCTCAGCCCTAATCTTAGGGATCTGATCTGTCCTTCAGCTCCATTTGGACCCAAAACTTAGTTGGTATAGAGACTTGGAAGTAGGTACTTTCCACAGCCATTTTACTGCTTTGCAGTTGGAAAACTACCTGTAATTTGATCAAATCTGGGTGGGACAGGTTTTCTAGGAGTGGTAAAAACTTTAACGAGGCCACGTGGTGTGACCTAGCTGGAACTCTTGCAGTAAGGTCTAGGAACAATTTAATTTGTACCTTTGTGGAGCTGGCGGTGCTGTATCTGTTACATTGTCATGTCTATTTATACCACTCTATTCTTCCTCTCCCGCCAGAATGCAGGAGAGAACCAGGGATGATCAAAAATGAGAAGGACCAAAAAAGGTTTAAAAGACCTCTTTCTAAGGAT